ATGGTCAGGGCGAGATCGAAGAAATGACGCGAGCAGCGTGCATTTATGAAAGAATCTCTGGGATAAAGCGGAGCATGGCAAGCACTGTTGCGTCGCGCCGCGCGCCTTGTTCAAGTGCAGAGCCTCGCTCGCTGCCAAATCTTGGGTGGCTAGTCCTCAAGGGGAAGCTCCCCCGGTTGCCGAACCCGAGAAAACCTCTCCGGGAGCCACCGGGAAAAAGAGAATTTCCCCGAGCGGTGTGGCAACGTCGCCGGCCAGAAATGACGTCCCTACGGCCCCGACCGTGATCCGGGAAAACAGCGTGGTTTTCGCGCAAGAGATTTCCAACCCGTCGCAGAGGAAAACAGGAGGTGTGCACTGCCGTGCTAAGGAAAAACACCGTATGAACCTTCAGGCGTTGCTTAATTTGCTTTGATTGAAGACACATTTTCGAGAGGACTTACGATTATTTTTATTCCAATTTTTCAGATTATTTTGTTCGCAATTTCACCTTAAGTTCCTGAAGATTTCAAGGAAAAATATTCATAAATCTCCTTAAAAAATACTTCTTTTATCGGAGGAAATTTGGCAACTCTCGCATGTTCTTACGGCGCTTCTCCTTAGCACGGCAGTACAATGCGGTGGGCACTGCCAAGGTGGATGAATCGCTTTCTGTTAGATAGGCGTAAGTCCTCGAAACGTGATTTCACAGGAGATACACAACGGATTTTCTCATTGAAAAGTATGACTAAACGTTTTCCGGAGTGTCCTGAGGATGAGTCAACACTCGTTTGAAAATTCTGGAATGCTTTTTTCCATGAGAAATTTTTTGTGTCCTTTCAGGCTCATCTGTAATGGATCTACGATCTTTTTTAAGGAAATGAAAAAAACCGAGACATTTTAAGTTATAGTGTCAGGAAACTAAACAGCAGACCAGCTGAAGTGGAGAAAAGTCTGGAAATTTTATGAATGAGATCAGAAACTTCTTCTATAGATGCTTTCAATAGGCAGCGTTGTCGACTTTCCAGATAAACCTGCATGAAATTTTTGGCTACGCATCAGTAAGGAATCAAAACACGCGATCAGTTGCAAGCTACTTAACTGCAAACCTCTATTTTTATGTGTTAACATCAGCGCTGTCCACACGATCAAAGAAAGCGTGAATATGGTTCGGGGCTCGTTGTAAAAAGCTCAGATAATTTTATGTCACGGGGGCAACCATGAAAATCGGAGGGAATTCCGGTACTTCGTGGTAATGACAGGCGGAAATTGAAAGTTTTGGCTACCTGAACGCAAGGGGCGTCATCACAGTCATATCTCCNGGGGGGGGGGGGGGTTGCCGTCTTCAAAATGCAGGGACGGAAAACCTCACCTCTCTCCTCCCCTAATAGCGTATCTGCTAAATTCTGTCTTGCGTATCCCTTCTTAATGACAGCGATAGTTCGAGAAACGTAGGGAATTTATAGTTAAAAATTTTTAAAGTCCGTGAATTTAGGAAATGTCAATTAAGATCTATTATATGAAAAATGAAATGAGAGGAATGGTATCAAGCGGTCGTGGGTCCAGAATCATTGTAGGGGGTTTTTTTTGAGTTGCAGAGTTTGCCGCAAGTTCAGAGAATCCTCCCCACGGAGCACCCATTTTCCTTTTTTGTAACCGAAAAATCGAGAATGTCGTCAAATCATGTGGAAAGTCTAAGACACCAACCCCCCCCCCCCCCCCCCCCCCCCCNAAGCGAAAGTATAGAAAAGACCGATGCTTGGAGTGTATTCAACTTTTTGCCGCGAAAAATGGTGGAAAAATCAGAAATTTGTTTTTTCCGGGAACGTGGAAGAATCCGAAAGCAGCCTCCTTCGAAATAATTTATTAGAGCTCCTCACTCTATGCCCTGAATTCCCATTATCTTGATGCGGAAAATTTTTCGTTCGTAAAAACTGTATTCTGCTGTCTACATTCGAGCCAGAGTCACTTATCTAGGTTAATTAATGGTGACCTAGAAAATTGTCGCTGAATTTTTTATGATCTGAACAAATCAAAGAATTTTACCCTTTAGCACTGACGGCAATCCATCTCTTGGGATTATTTTAACAGCAAAGCACTGATCGGGAGTACCTAAAAAAAAGTCGGAAATGTCAAATGTCAGGGAATCCCAGTCCAGGGATTTCTGTTATACCTGAACACATAGAGCGGATTACGAGCATTTTTTTATATTTTTACTTTTTTTTACATTTTACAGTTCAAATTAAAAAAAAAAAAATCCCTCGTACAAAAGTGTCATAATGGAACTAAATAGTGAAAGCACGGGTGTTCAATGATGCTGCCTTGTTCACCTTCCGCCTATTAGACACATCACCTACTTTGACAACACTGTCTGAGTGTTATTCTTTCCCCGCCGACAGTTTGACACCAAGTAGAAGGTCCGCTTAGTTATCGTGCGAATTTTTTCTTCGCGCTCAGTAAAATCCTCCCCCCCCCCCCNGTATTGAAAAAGGCATGAAGGGAAGAATCTATTGCCAAAAAATTGAAATCCAATTCGCCAGCCAACAATTCAAGTGATGAAGCAAGCTTGGCGTAATTTTTTTTTTTTTTTTTTGATAGAGGGATTCATTTTCCACTAATCCTCCCTCGGCTGTCCCATGTTTCTTTTTGCAATAGAATTAAAAAGACGCATCTTCTAGAAATCCTGTGGCATCGGGTGAAAATGTAAATACACGTATCTCGATTTTGGCGGGTTTTTCGGTAGAATTAGAATTCGCGCGTATCTTCTCATTGTAGAGTGAAAAACTTTGCGGTATTATTGATCGTCAGTAAAAATTCATTTTCCCGCCAAAAAACGGATTTTGCCGCATTGTTTTCGAGCGTGGCGGTTTAAGAAGCAGGGCATTCTATTAATCGAAAGGCGTGAGTGATATATTGGTGTATTCCTATTATGGAACTGCGCTTTTACAGGTAGGCACATCGCGTGAAGCAGCCTAATTAGATTAATATTAAAAATGTTTGGAGGAGTGAGGGGGGAGGGGGCTCCCAACCAGTTGCCTGCGCAGCTGTTATTGAGCGCACGATCGCGGCTTTTTCTCTGCGTTATGGATGCTAAGGTCGTCCACCCTCCCAATTTCGCCGTATATGGAAAATCTTGATTGTTACCGATGACAGCATTGCCTACTTCCATCGCTTCTCATGCTTTCAGCCTTCGCCGCCCCCCNNAACCTCTCAGTCTGAGCATTATGTCGGTCCGAAACCTATTCAAACAAGCTGCCCACCGGCTGAACTAGAGTGAACCGAGAGAGTTACGTTGACTGTTTCAGACTTAATGTGATTTCGGGATCCTTTATCGAAGCAACTGGATCCTGATCATAACGTGAGGACCATTCACTCTCGCCGAAATTCGTATTTTAGAAGTCTCCCCC